TGCCTCCCCGAGTGCTGTCGACGACCCTCTGGACGCAGCCAGCCGCGGCCGACACGCCAACCCTGCTGCCTCTGACCTCGGAGCAGCAGAAGAAGTGTGGGCCCTGCCGCTGGTGGATTTCCTTGTGCGGCGTGCCGCGGTGGCCGCGACCGCGGGAGGGGTGTGGGGGCCGGTCCCATGGCAGGGTCCCCGTGCTCTGGGTGCCGGTGAACGCCCGGTGCGGCCTGCCGGGCCTCCTGGCTCCTACTTCGACTTGATTGTCTGGGAGCACTGGCTGCCGACCGGGGGGGCCCCCATCATGTGCCCCCCCCCCCCCCCCCCCCCCCCCCCCCGCCTCCTGGCCGGCGGTGCTTCCCTCCCTCAGGTGAGACGGGTCCGGGCCTCCTCTTGCCGTGTCGACCGGCCGGCCGGTGGCCTTCCCGCCCTGGGGCGGGTCGTGCCCAGGGCCGTTGAGGAGATGAGCAATCAAAATTCCGTTCCTTCGTGAGACCCGAGTGCGAGTACGGCCCCCCTGGAGGCTCCCTGCCTGACAGTCAATCTGCTTCCCTCGCCGAGGGCGAGGGGAGGGGGCACCATATCCGGCCCGGATGCCGTCGCCCGACCGGGTGTGGTCGCCACCTGCGCGCAAATGCCCATCCCGCCCCTCTCCCTGCGGCTGTTCGTTTCCCCTCGCCCCGTCGGAGAGCTCGGCACCGGGGGTACGACGGCGCTTCCGGGCTTCCGGAGCCGCCCTCCGGAAGCCGGTCAAGACGCCAACCGGCCGCCTTGTCAGGCCTCCGCCGGCCGGGTGCCCGGGGGGACGGCCGTCCCGGGCGCAAGAGGCTCCGGTTGCCCCGGTCCTGGGAGGAGGTACACTGTCTGACGTTTCTACCGGCTGCTAAAAAGGTCCGAGGAGGGAGGCGGGGGTGCGTCGACCGCCGCCGCCGCCGCCGCCGCCGAGCCCGCTCACTTCCCCCCCCGCCGGGCTTGGAAACGCCCGTGCCCGGGACCGAATGCACACAAGTGCCGACATGCCGGGCGAAGGCCAAGGCTCGCTGCCATTCGGATATATGAGCGGCCCTCTGAGAGGCGCCTCTGGCTGTGTTAGTCCCGAGGACCAGGCCCCGGGGGCGGTGTGCCATGCTCCCCCGCAGACATGGGGTGCTCGAGCCGCTGGGGCGGGGGAGGGGGGCGGGGAAGCCCACTGCCCGGCA